ATAAGCCTGCATGTAATGCGCACAGAAACATGGGTGTGCACTAGGCACAGGAGTGCGTTGTACACGGCAGAGCATGATGTGTCTGTGCTCAACAGACAGTTTGTCGTAATTCAGGGTACCCAAATTCATATGCCACAGATGTTGTATTTTGGCTATTCCTGATTATTATTTCCCCTCCTTATGTTGCTGGTGTAAGGGCCTTTTCTTACATACATTTGTGCCACCAACAGAAAATATGTATAAAATCCACATATGTGAAAGTTTTAAAAATGATTTCTGTAGAATTATTATGTAGCATAAGAAAACATTTGGTTGCTTATTTACAATAATATGAAACTACAAAAGGGATAAGACATTTGTCTCCTTCCAAAACAAGACAGTTTGATGTATTCATTCTAGTATTTTTAATGAAAAATAGTTGTACAGTAAGCTCTCACTCAGTGTCATCCATAGGTTCCGTGAGTTTAAGCAAAATGAGGTACAATGAAACCAATTTTTGCCATAGGTTAACTGGTACAAAGAAGCGTGAAGTCTGTAGGGCAAGTCCTCAGGGTTACAGGGAAACGACCTGGATGAAGTGATGTGATTTGAGGCCTGCTGTTCTGCTGCGTAGTCACAACTCTGCTTTCATCTTACCCACGTGCGTGAGATAGGCTCACTTGAGGTGGCGTGTTTCTTTCTTTTTTTTTTTGTTATTTGCTAAATAAATGGCTTAATTTGATAAATATACTCATGTGTGTCATAGCTGTTATGTTACTTACGTGATAATAACTTAAGGTTTGGAAGGCATTTAATTATCACTTTAGAAATACTAGACACAATATTTAAAAACATTATCAATCTGTGTAAAGAGTAACCCAAAGAAGTGCATGCTTTTAAAAGAATGTTTTCCAAAATTTTAAGCGGAAATTACTCTTTACTATTTCTTAAAAGTGCTTCACTGACAGTTAGTTACCTGTTTTAATAGTGTGCACAGGAGGTTTCATCTTTAGTTGTATGTATCTTAAAAAGTTAATGAAAGATTTGCCATACTGCTTTATCTATTATCATTGGTAGAAATCTCTCATTTCTGTTTAAAACGAAGTGAGCAGCAACAAATAGCATTAGACATAATGGTTGTTAACCTCTTAGAAAAGAAGCTGCTACTTCGCATAAATATAATCGGTGAGCCATGGAGAATGTCTATACTTCAACAGTGGGGTTAATGACTGTCTTTTTTCTTTATTTTGGTCTTTAAAGTTGCAGTTAGCTCAGGCAGTTTGAAATGATTCTCTTTGAATGTGTTGCGACATTGTTTTAATTGAATGAAGCTGCAGAACTAGCATGATAAATCAACACAGAATGAATTTTAATGCAAGGCATACAATATTAACTTGGAAATTGGTTGCAGTAGACAAAGCAGCTGCTATGATTAATTTTTTTCATTCTCCACTTAAGACAGTCTGAGAAGGATGACCTTGACAGGCTCAATTGTATTGGAGTCCCAGTGGTAGGCACTGTAACACCCTTGAGCTGGGGTTTTTGGTTGGGTAATAGAGATTGGTTCATTTTGAAGGTTACGAAAATGTTGTGTTACAGAATTAGGATATTGGTTTTGAGTGGTTTTAAAACATCTCTTATTAATAAACAATCACTGTGTGGATTATTGAGCTGTGGGAAGTCTTTTTCTATGTAATTTTAATGCTGGGGTTCCACAGAAAGGGTTGAATGTCTGCAAATAAGATGTGCCAAAGAATGTCTTCCAATTGTGTATATATGTTATGAAGTGTAGGCCGGCTAGTTTGGTAGAAGATGCAAGTCAGAAACAATGAGTTTTTTGAAGCGCAGAAGTACCTGTGTTCATAACGCATTGCTGCAGACATTCTCCGCTGGGTTTGCAATACGTAACGTGTGTGCAACATGTGCATTGCTGCAAAGGGTCTGTACAGAACACAACGACCGAGGGGTAGCTGGCGCGGCGAGTGTGTTACAGGTAGTCCGGGGAACTTTACAGAATTCACTAGAACAGGGGATTTCTCCTCTTGTTTTACTGTCTAGTATCTATTTAGCTCTTTATCACATAGCAGACCTTACATAAATGTTTTACTGAGTCGAATTTGAAAATGGAAGGTATTTTTCTATTCAACTGAAAAATATTCAAAGTAAGTACAGTGAGTGAGGAACAGATGTCTAGATCCTTGTCTCTTTTTCCGCTGTTTTGAGGAGCGGAGGGGGAGAGGAGTTCTCTAGAGTCTGTGACTCTAGAAAAGGGTGAAGGTACAGTAGTAAGTTGCTGGAAAGTAGGAAGAGCTTGCTCGAAGGGAACAGAGGGCCAGGCCTGTTGATCAACTTCCTGTGAAATACGTATTTTCTCTCTTCCTCCCGCATTTGTTCTAATATATTTACTTTATGCTGCATGAAGTTATGTCAGTTCTTGATCTATTTATATTAAAAGGCAGCCATTTAAAAAGGCCATGGGTGCCCTGGCTAGTGGCTCATTGGGTTGCACCACTGTCCTGTACATTGAAAGATTGTGGTCCGGGTGTATACAGGAGATAATCTCTCAATGTTGCCCCACTTTCTCTCTCTCTAAAATCAATAAACATATCCACAGATGAGGATTGAAAAAGATGCTATGGACTTTTCTATTTAAGGACTAATAGGGTAATTCAGACTATCTGAGCAATTTCAGTAAAATAAAACAGAACAGGAAAAAACATCTGCCTGAATGCATCAGAGATGCAGTAATACTGGGCAGAATGTTAGCTCAAGATCCTGAGGAGGGCAGAGGATGATCCAGAATGTAAGCCTGGCTTTTGAGAGCTTTTCCTCTGGGTGTGTCTGCCGAATCTGGAGAGGACAGCTGCGAGGCTGAACTTTGGGGGTAGAATCTGAGTCTGTGATCCATCTGCATGGCACCTTCTCATCTCCAGTCATAGCTGTGGTTGCGGGTGCTGGCGAGGGCTGCCCAGGCCCTCCCAGGCGCTGCAGGTCGGCATTGCATTTTTTCAGCCTCTGTAAGTGAAATTGTTTTAGGTATCTTGGGTTGCTAGTAGCAGTAAGTGCCTGGCAGAAAGATGATATATGTCCCCTCTAGAGGAAAGTCATGTCACTTTAGGCCTTGTGTTACTTCTGTCAGCTGTTCAGCATGCAGTGTCTTGCTGACACTAAAAATTAACCAAAGACAGAAGAAGGTAAGGTGACGTTAACACACGTGAAGAGAGGATGGAACAGTGGAAACGGACCCACAGGGACTGCTGGCAAAAGACAAGTTGGAGAAACACGGCAGAAATGGACACTGCCAAAGGAGTGTTGAACTGAAACCTTCCTGCACTGGAATAAACAAGCTAAAGCGAAGGTAAAGCCCTTGGAGGAGAGCATCGAGAACTGGAGGACAGATCAGAAGAAATGACTCAGCTGTGAGACAGCAGGAAGAAGCGAGGAGGAGGTGTGAAAAGTCAGAGGGGCACGGTCAGAGCATCTCATGTGTCATGGGAGGGTTAGAAGAAGAGAGGGGGACCAGTAGCAGCGGGGCGCGGGAAGGATTGTGGTTGGGAACTTCAAAACCGAAGGAATAAAGTCACAGATTTGTGAAACTCAGAGCCATAAAGTGAAAACCATACCTAACCCTACTGTAGTAAACTGCTCAAAACTGATGGTAAGGAGAAAACCTTAAAAGTAGCAAAAAGAAGAAAATGGTTACCTTCACAGGAGCAGCAGTGACAGTGGGTGACAGCGTGGTTGTAGGTTGGGTGCCAAGCACTAGATGCTGAGAGCTGGACAGGGATGAGGGCTTTTATTGGAATATGTAGAGGCGGTTCAGGCACGTTTCAGAATCAGGATCTTGTAGAACTAGATCCAGTGCGTATAGGCTCAGAGTTGCATCTTGGGGTGGGAAAAGTGACCCATTGGTACACGTGTACTTCCCATCTTTTATTTGGGAAAGACTTTCTGTAGATATGGCCATGCTGGCTGGCAGCTGAGCGAGGTGTGAGTAAGCCATTGAGGTGCAGAAGGTTGAAGAAGTGCCCTAGCTCCTCAAGCCCTGACAGCATGTGACTTGCATGCAGTGACGTACCAGCAGTGGATTAGATGCAAGGAAAAAATAGGAAGCTGTGCACCAAAGAACCATTACCTCTGGGTTTTTGTGGAAGTGATGATAAGCACTCGCTTTTGTCTTTCATACAGATGACATGTGAATGAGGAACATTTATGTTTCAGTGTTGAGTTATTCCGTTCTTTACCTGAGCCTTTCTTCCTCCTCCCCCCTCCCAAACAAACTTCTGTATATGAGTTCTAGAAGTCTCTGTGGAGGGATGCTGCTTCTTTATTTATCGTTATTTTTATCACTGTCTTATTCGTGAAAAGAAGTAAGCTTCCTTGCAAAAATAGTAGTGTAAGTTAAAGGTAGGATGGAAAAAAGAAAAGAAAATTAAGGAAGCAATGTAAAATTTTGCAAGGAATGGGATGAAAAAGCATACTTTTAATTTCAGACCTAAACATTTAGTACAGGGTAGAATCCAAATTTGGCCACTGGAGTAGAGTTCTGATAGGTGACCTAAAAATGTGCGTTCAAGAAAGTATAACTTTACTTACTAGGTAAATAATAGCATTTTCCCCCGAGGATTTCAGTTAAAAAAAAAAGAAAAGCAATCACTGTTTAACACGATGAACAGTTCCCTGAGGACCCTCATCACAGAGTTTTGTGGAGGACATTTGCACTCTTGAGTAGCATATAAAATTTTGCATATGCTTTGGTTTATATGACATGTTGATGGACAGTACAGTGTAGCACCTTTCAGGTGGATCGTATTGTTCCTAGTTTACAATTTGTATTAATACAGAGGAAAATTTTTGTGCTAGAAAATGAGCTGTTGTACTTACTTCCCTCAGCTTGGAAGGAAATTCAGAAGGACTCTTTAATGTTATTTCAGCTTAATGTTAAAAAGTAATTTGAGAAAGTAAAGATATAGTTTAAAATAATTTTAATAGAAAATAATGTATGGTGACTTTTTTTCCAGTTTAATTTTGTTGGGAGGATCCTTGGACCTAGAGGACTTACAGCGAAACAGCTTGAAGCAGAGACGGGATGTAAAATAATGGTCCGAGGCAAAGGCTCGATGAGGGATAAAAAGAAGGTAAGTTCTTGCAAACAGAGGCAATTCTTTATGTGAGTAATTTAATTAAACTTTTGTATTCTAATGAAGTATTCAGATCTTTTGTGTAAAGCACCGTGCATTATTTCATGTCAGAAACTTGACGCTTTAAAGGTGTCCACATGATTTTGCTCCACTAATTAGTATTCTTCATTTAGCCGACTGAAGTGCCACTCGGTCCATCACGTTAACCTCAGTGTTTACAACCGAGAAGCTTCCACTTTGGGAGTTAGCAAGACTGTCGTGTATATAAAAATACGTAATTAAAAGTTTGGGAGATCCAAGTGTTTCTTTTGAGCTGTAGATGAGAACAGTCAGCCAACCTCATTTTTGGTTTCACCAACATTTCGTGTTGATCATAGTTTTATAGACATTTTACTTTAAACATATTGTTTCTGTTCATTGTTCTTTTCTCCTGCTAGTTCTTGTTTTGCTATTTTAATTAATAAAGACCTAACTTTGTACTTATAATTTTTTTTTAGGGAGGTTTTATTTGCCTAGTCTAGTTTCCTTGTATCTAGCGATACTATGAGGCAGAATACCTTTGACTTTGTGTAAAAAACATTTGACTTTTTTTTTTTTTTAAATCCTGGATTATGTTCCCAAAGATTAAACTTACTGTCAAGAGGTGTGTTTTTTGTTTGTTTGTTTGTTTGGGGTTTTTTTTTGTTTGTTTTTTGTTGCATGCTTTGCCTGGAAAGGGTTCTCAGGTGGTAGCCCTGGGGTCAGCCTGTGTTTGCACCAAACTGCTTGGGGACACAGGCCTGCAGGCTCTTCCGACTGCGTGCGGACAGGCTGCCGTTCCGAGCTGACCACCTCCTGCTGTCTAAGCTCTCCTATAAGCTGACTGAGTCGCCCTCTTTTTTTTCTCCCTACAGACAAATAGTGAGTTAATAGCTAAAAAGCCCTCATTGATGTTATTTTTTAAATCTTACTATAACTTGGTCTTGTCATTTTACAGATGAGACAAGATGTGAATTCCCCTTTACTATATTTAGATACTGTATTTAAACCATCTTTTGTTTGGATCTTAACTGTTAAGACTCTAGATTCTGAACCAGCTGGGTGAGAATCTTGTGTGTACTGCCATTCAGTGGGTTACCACATTTCTACTTACGGCTGCGTTGTCATTGAGTAGTGCTGCTTCCAGAACCTGGGGACAGGGAGGTGAAATCTGGACAACTGAGGGATAAATAAACCTTCACCTAAAGATGAGTGTATCTAACATTAGTTTAAAAAGTTAATCTTAGCCTCAGCCAACAGCACATACTTTGTCCTCTCCTCACCTTCCGTTCATTCTGCAGTAACAGGTTCCACCAACTTCACTCTTGCATGACAGACATCATGGCTGACAGCTGACAGGGTTGAGTAAGACAGGGTAAATCCTGTTTTCGATTAGCAGAACAGAATGGTTAGGAGAGTGAGCTCTGCAGCAGATTGCTTCAGTTTGAATCTTGGTTCTATCACTTAGCAGCTTTGGGACCTTTTATTTAATCTCTCTGTGCTACATACAAAGTCTGTCTGGAAAAAAACCAGCCATTCTTAATATAATGAGAACAGTTTGTGTGACATCGATGTAACCTGGCAGCCAAGGAGAGTAGACTGGCATATACATGCAGGAATAATTATGACTTCACTGTACTAGTCGGTGGGGCCAATAGATGCTGTTGAGTGAGCATGTGTACTGTGTGGCTGTCACATTCACAATGACAGTGAGTAGGGCAACAAATCTGCATCACACTTTGCGTTAAGCTTAAACATTCCTCTGCAGAAACTATTCAGAGCGATTCAGAAAACCACAGCTATAGGCAACTGGTGACTGGCAGCTTCATCACGACAATGTACCTGCTCATGCATCACATCTCATGCAGAGTTTTTTTTTTTTTGAGAAACATCAAGTTACCCAGGGGACTCAGCTCCACTACAGCCCAGATTTGGTACCTTAACAACTTCTAGCTTTTCCCCAAAACTGAATCACCTTTGAAAGGAAAGAGGTTTCAGACCTTTGATGAGATTCAGGAAAATATGATGGGGGCAGCTGATGGTGGTTGGGAGAACCATGTGAGGTCCCAAGGTGCCTACTTTGAAGGGGATTGAGTAGTCATTGTCCTATTTACAGTGTTTCTTCTACTTTGTATCTTCTTCAATAAATATCTCTTTTGTAGTACATGGCTGGATACTTTCTGGACAGACATTGCATATGAAATGGTTCTCGTAATGTCACTTCTTATGTTTGTGAGCATTAAATTAATCCTAGAGTGCTTAGAATGATGTTTTGTCATGTAGTAAATAATTAATATTAATGTTTGTTCTTAATTTTATCTTAACATTGTTTGATGGTACATTTTATGTTTAAACTCTCAGGTGTATAATAGAAATTCTACAGATTTTTTAAAAAGATTTTATTCATTTAGTGTTTAGAGACAGGGGGAGGGAGAAAGAGAGGGAGAGAAACATCAGTGTTTGGTTGCCTTTCCGGTGGCCCCTTACTCTGGGGACTTGGCCCACAACCCAGGCACGTGCCCTGACTGGGAATCGAATTGGCTACCCTTTGGTTCACAGGCCTGCACTCAGTCCAGTGAGCCACTGGTTGTTTTGTAACCTTTGAATATCCTGTATTCTCATGACTTTTCTGTTCTCCTTCTCAGGTTGTTGGTGTGTTCATATTCTGTCTTGTCTTAACCACATGTATAAGTAGTTCACACATTTTATTTGTTTTTGATTTCTACTGTTGTCTATTAAAATTTTAAAAAGCTTACAGAATATACATGCAAGTTATTACAATGACACTGAAAGATTGGCTATAGATTACATTTTTAGTTTTATTTAAAGCTGTAGATAAACCCAACTTGGGTATATTAATTGGAATAGCTACCATGTGTTTTATGTTATGGTATGTGGGTTCTGTGAAAAGTTTTTAGATTTATAATACCAGGAATATCTTCTGTAATATTAATTTAAATCTATTACACATAATAAATTAACCAAATTACCTTGGGGTTATGCTATAGCTTATTTAATGAGCTCTTAAAAATGTAATAAAAGTAAAGTAAAAATGGAAAGTACTATCATTTCTTGGTGGCTGTTATTTTGAGAAAGACCATGACAAACATATGGAGACAAAAAGAGGTATTTGATGTACATAGTAAGCCTGGTTGAGGTGTATTTCTGGTGTTTCAAAGGAAAATCCATTTGACTTTGAGCTTCTCTGCAGAGGTGTCCATTTATGTCAGAGTAGAAAGCCAGAAAATAAAGCTTAATGTACTGGTTGCCCTAAAATGTTAGGATGGAAATGGTGTTCGCTGATCTGTATTCGTCCCTAGACTGGCAAAATCAGTGAGGGCAAGCAGGCCATGTCTGTTTTATGTAGCATTTCCCTGGTGGTTGAGGAATACCTGGAGTGTAGTAGGACCTGGAAAAACATCTGGGAAAGGAATAGATGTTTCATAAAAGGCATAAATGCCCCCCCCCCGATCTCCAGACCCCTCTAAAGGATTTTGTAAATAGAGAAAATTATAAAACCTGTGTGCTTTTAATACTTGGGGTACGCGATAAGGCGCTGCTGTATTCTAAGCTTCTGGTTTGAAGCAGTGGAGTGAATGTGCCACTTCTGTTTTCATTCTCTCGGACTGATACTGCTTTAGCTGTATTGGTGGGCGTAGGAGCATTGGTTTTGGATGAAATGGAACCTGGGAGTAGGAACTGCAGTGAGACTTTGTGAGAGACTGGGAGGTGTCTCTCCCCACGCCAGCTTGTGGCAGTGCCGGTCTTCAGTGGGCCGCCTGCCCGCACCTCTGTCTCTGGTGGTGGCAGGGCATCTGCACGCGGGACCAAGTTTTGTATGGGTAGTCCCTTTGGTTTATAGTGAACTTCGTATTATGCAGTATTCTGAGTATTCTAAGTATGTGAAATGTATCTACATACATTTAATTATTGTGAGTTTCATTATTTCCACGTTGTAGACGAGGAAACCGTCTACAGGAGGTTCAGGGAGGCTGCATATTCACCAAAGGTCAGGTGCTAAAAAATAGTTAAAATTTGAACATGAAGCCTGTATTCTGTTCTATGGCATACAGTCTTCTAATTACAAACCATTTATAAGAGTGACATCAACTTGAATATTGAGTATTCTAAACTTTAGGAAAATATGATTTCTTTAAGCTTTTTGTTCATTCTCTGAATAATATGTTTTGAAATTTTTGTATTTATTAGTTTTTTGGTTTTCATAAATCCTTCCTTTAGGCAAGAGTCTATCCCTTGTTTTCTGATGGGAAACTATATACTTGAACAGATTAGAAATGTGAGAGAAGCCCTGGCCTGTGTGGCTCAGTGGATTGTCAGCTTGAGAACCAGAGGTCGCTGGTTTGATTCCCAGTCAGGCCACAGGCTGGGTTGTGGGGCGTGTGAGTGGCAACCACACATTGGTGTTTCTCTCCCTTTCTCCCTCCCCTTCTCTCTGGAAATAGGTAAATGAGATCTTAAAAGAAAAAAAATGCTAGAGAAGTAATTTTGGGAAAAGAAAGTGATTATTTGTTGTTTCCTAATTGAGGTAATAGGGCTGCAGGGGCTGCGTGAAGGGCGGTGGGAGAAAACGTTTCATGCTGGGAGGCATGGTTCGCCTTCAAAATAGCAAAGGGGCAGCCAGCTACTTTCCAGTGTATCAGATGGAAACATGTCAGTATTTAAACAGAAGAGTGTTTTGCACACATTAGATGCTTGATAAATTATTGGGGAATTAGAATTATTATCACAGTGGCAGATGAAGCCCACCTTTGGGGAGCTGTATGAACGGCTTCTGTGGGAAACACTCTTTGGAGCTTTGTCTTACCCACATCCCTTAGCTCTTTCCTGAGCCCTCCCCTGTCCTCAGCAGGCTGGGGCTAAGTAGCCGTGCTGGTGAGTCTGCCCCACTCTGGCTCCAAATACTGAGGGAGGAAATGTGGACAGTTGAGTAAAGCCAGTTCAGTTGAATGTTGTGCCTT